AAAAATTCAAGAATGCGTGAACGTTTCGAATTTCCCGCACCTTATATGTCACAAAAAAAAATTTACCACTTATCACTTTTGAAAATATATTTGAAAAAATTACAGAATGTCATTTATTTATTGGCCATGCTGGTCGAGACAAGACATGGGTTGAGGTTAAAAATTATTTTCTTAAATATAAACTGTAGTTAAAAACTTTTAATAGGTTAAACGGTTGTATGCAGGAATTCCACAACAAGCAATATCTATATTTATTAGTATGTGTGATGCATGTCAAACAAGAAGATCAATACCAAAACCAGTTTGCGGCAAACCTATTGTCTCAATTGGATTTTTAAATAGACTTCAAGTTGATTTAATACATATGCGTAGTGTTGAATATAATGGATATAAATTTATATTACATGCAAAAGATCACTTTACAAAATTTAGTTGGTTAAATGCATTACCTTCAAAACAAGCTTATCATGTTGCTGCTACTTTACGTAATATTTTTTTACAATTTGGTCCACCAAAGATATTACAATCTGACAATGGGAAAGAATTTGTGTAAGAATAATGTTATAATTCAAAATGTACATTTCATATTTTCGTAGTGCAAAAATTATTTTGGAACTCAAATCAAGTTGGCCAGATTTAATTATTATCAATGGTCGTCCACGACATCCACAAAGTCAAGGTCTTGTCGAACGAGGTAATGCTGTAGTACAAAAAATGTTAGGCAAATGGCAAGAGACAAATAAATCTAATGATTGGCCTAACGGCTTAGGTATAAATTATTTTATTTTAAAAAATCATATCTTTAAAATATTGAGCTTTTTTATCAAAAAAATATAAAGACCAGTGATGTTATCAATTAATAATTGTGTATCTCAAAGTGCACAAAAAACACCATATGAAATGGTCTTTGGTCAACCTACACGCAGTGATCATGACTTTTGGCAACAGTTAAACAAACAATATTCTAATAATTTAGTTGTTAATGAAGAAGATTTACCTCAATCAATTGCCAATATGATATCTTCCAATGACGATGAAGTATTTTTTAGATTCCTCAATTGTTTATCTTATATGTTTTGTTTTTAGTCAACAATTAATCAATCAACAGATGTTTGTAGTTCTTCAACAATACCATCATTATCATTGAATACACATACAACTAAAATTATAGAGTATTTCTTTTTTTTCTTATTAATAACAATTTCGTATTTTGTTAATGCATAATAGTAACAAAACTGAAACTTCACATAAACAAATTCGAGATGAAGCTGAAAAAAATTATATTCGTACAGCTGGTAATTTATATTTTTTAGAAACGTTTTGCAATATTTAAAAGCTGAATGAATCTGAATGTCAATATTTTTCGAAATTATATATGTATTTATTATCATTTTAAACTTTTTTTATCAAAAGATTATGCCTTTAATCCGTTTTCCAAATTATAATTATAATTGACCACTTATAATTTTTTAGAACTAAATTTAAAAATTATTTCACTATACTCAACTTTCAAATTAACATTTTTCACATATAGCTATGGTTTTTTTGTACAATACCATAAATTAGGATTAGACTATTTCCTAAGCTAAAATATCCTACGTTTCTTTTATCTAATTTTTATTTAGTATAACATACTTAAATTAAAAAAAAATTCATTTCAAATATAATGATTCAAGTTTTTTTTGTCTTTGTAGTTTCAATTGTTATCAATATTAAGAAGAAGGAGAATAATAAACCGTTTTTTTTAGTAGTATTTCTTATTTCGTAACAAATCAATTCATATTGTTATTTTTTGGCATAATAACCTATTTTATTACTGTTAATCATGCTATTCTTTTCATTTAATATCATGATAGCTTGTTTTTAATGGTATACATTTGTAAAATTTAACTTTTAATGTCAAATAAAATTCCTCTAATTAATAACAGATAACATGTAAATATTCGACTTTTGAATAATGTAAAGTGTGTTTATCATTATTTTCTATTTTTACTATTCAATTAGACTTTAAACAATAAATGAAAAAAAAATAATTATACTGTTATATTCAAAATAAATGTTTCGTAGTAAAAAAATCTAAACAAATCAAGCCAGAATCAAAAATGAATTTACTAATTAAAATTTTTGACTATAATATTTATTTAAAAACCTAATCTACATGATTGTACGTATTACATAAATCTTTATGTATTGAATAATCAAAGTTTTGAACATGTTTACCTGTACTAGTGTATAATTTTTCTAAGAATTAAAGGTATAATCTTTTGATAAAAAGAATTATTTGCTGATTTTGTTAATACTAAATCGTAATATTAAGAAAAATTACCATGTTTTAGCATATTATCCCCTGCTCAACTTTTTTTTGCGTTTAATTTTATACATAATATAATTTATATATATATATATATATATATCTATTTAAAAAAAAATTGCAAAAAAACTTAAATTGTATAAACTTTACAACGTCAACTTAAAAATTATCAATTTGGTTTGAAAAAACAAAAAAAAATTCAAATAAATGATATAGTAGGACTAAAAATTTCAGAAGTTGACAGGTCAAACACTTCACCATCAATCTTACCATGTAAAATAATTGACATATCATATAGAGATGAATCATCTGATCTACAATATAAACTTGCAACATTAGATGGAAAAATTAATGATTGGTTTTTATCACTTGATTTAATTGATTTATCAGATACACTTTCAACTGAATTACGACAGTTAGATACAAATAATTTGCCAGATATCAGTTTCATTCAAGCTTGTCAAGCATTTACAAAGTTTAAATCAATCAATACTTGTAAATGTACTGGTTCCTGTGATACCAATCGTTGTTCTTGTAAAAAAAGATCATTATTGTGTTGTACTAAATGTCATCGTGGTAAATGTGTTTCATGTAAAAATAATAATTAAGTAATACGTATTTATTTTAATGTAATTTTTTTCAATTAATAGTTTTACATAAAGTTTATTTGAAAGAATTAATGCCATTTTTGATATATTTTCAAGTTTAAAACAGAATGCTCAACAGTACCATTGAGTAGTACAAAAGACAAAATAATGATATTTAGTAAGAATAACTACATTCAACACTTTTTAATAAGGATTTGAAGTTGATGTATGAAAGTGTTCAATTTTCTAAACACACGAAAAAAATATAAAACAAAAATTTTAGAAAAATGTTTTGAAGATTAAACACTAATAATCAAAAATAAGATGATACTTGATTTAATATATATTTTGAAAAACAGTTAATTCAGGTATAATTGTTATTATATGTGGTTCAATCAAATTAAATTTCTATACTGGTATTTAATCGTAATTAGCAATGCAGGGAATAATTTATAATAAAGACTTTTGTTGTGATCTATAGTGAATGAATAATAGACTGTGCTACAATATAATTTACCATATGTTATACTTCACGTGATGTATGTAAAGATGCAAATTTTTAAAAATTTTCAAAGAAAAAATATATGTCTTTTTTTTAAATGAATAAACTAAATAATATTAGTAGGATTTTATTAACTGGAGGATAACTTATAAAACAGATGCTTGGTCATTTCCAATAGATGTTCGATTAGTAATGAATTTTTTAATACATGCTAAAATAGTCAATTTTGTAGAAAATGTATTATTCCATCTTTTGAAACTTTATTTGAGTAAACAAAATTATCAAACACAGGAAAAATAAGAAAAAAAAACAATCGAAACACAAAAAAAAATTCTTTTTAAAACTGTTGTGGCGTAATAAAAAAATGAATTTAGCTTTTAAATTTTTGACATCTAAATAAAACAACATGTTATAGAATTTTGAATTGCCAACTATAATTCATCGTTTCATCTAAAAGAGTTTTCAAAAAAATTACCATTCGACGCTTGTATGTAATTTTCATATATGTATTGCTATATCATGTCTTAACAGATGTCCCTCGTTACTTAAATATATATAAAATTTCTATATTACGTATAAGTGATATTATCTATCAAATTATTTTCAAAAACAATTTTATTATATTTAAAAAAAAAACCTTTTGATACTATCATTTTAGATTTATGATATATACGAAACTTTATAATTATTTCCTCGCTCCTTCTTAATATATATGGACAATATATATATTTATTTATCGGAATAGCCAGTTAGGTAGCATAGTCTCATTAATTTATTTTTTGATAGCTTCCACTATGTATGAAAAAAAATTTTATTTAATATTTATTATAGTATATACATAATGGAGATCATTTATTTTTATCCAAATTCCATCTCTTGTTAATAAAGAGCTCTGTTTGCCAATATTTTCTTAGAATCATTTAATCACAAATATAGTTTTAATTAATTGATTCTCGACAAAACTTCGATAAATCTCTTTATTTAAAAGAGAGAAACTTTGAATAATAACAAACGATCAACATTATTCATTTAAAGCAATTGATTCAAAAAAGAATTTTTCTGATATAAAGTTGAAACGATGTAAAAAAAAATTAACGATAGTATCCTATTCAAATGAGCACTGCCATATATATGAGGAATTATGCAAATATATTTTATCTGAACTCTTATAATGAAATTTATATGTTAGTGATATGTTATCATATCGTTCTGTTAAATTTTGTTTACCACTTATTATTATGCATTAATTATCCAAATGAATATTTGTTTAAAAAAAAGGTTAATGTCCTGTTGATAGAATTGAATTATATTCGATTACTAAATTAATAAAACGACATATGAAAAATAAAACGTATGTACAGGACAAATGATTCATTGATTTATGATGATATAATAAAGTACATTCACGATAATTTAAGAGACTTTCAAGTGTTGAGTTAAAAATTGATAAGATGTAATATTGACATGTTTTTTTATTTACAATCAATAAGAAAAAAATGAACATGTTTATTAAATTAGTAAACAGTAACATAACTAATGTCGGCGCCAAAAGTAAATGGTGAAAACTCTGAGAGGAATATCTCCCGAACGGATGCAGCTAGCGACCTGCGGTTTTCGCCAATCGAAAGAGGAGGAGTGGGGGCGTCTTTTTCTCCGATAATGTATAAGACGCAATCTTTTTATAACTAATCATATTCGAAGAACATGCAAAAGAACCGATGAAAATGACCTGCCAGCTAGATGAAATTTTGATTTGAGCTTTGGTTTAGATAGAGAAACTTGAGATCTATAATTCCAGACACAATGTGCTTTGTTACTTTTTCCTACATTTTCCTCGAAATCTCAAGCTACCTTGATAAAAAGTGTAAAAGCTTAGTAAAAAACTAGCGAAAATCACTATGATTTGCTCATGTAAGTACATGATCCCATTTGCGCAACGTTAGAATGTAATAAGACAACCATTTGCGTTGTATCTGGAACTATAGATCTCAAGTCCCTCTATCTAAATCAAAAGTCAAAATTAAAATTTCATCTAGCTGGCAGGTCATTTTCATCGGTTCTTTTGCATGTTCTTCGAAAATGATTAGGTATAAAAGGATTCCGTCTTACACATTATCGGAGAAAAAGACACACCCACTCCTGCTCTTTCGATTGGTGAAAACCGCAGGCCGCTAGCTGCATCCGTTCGGGAGATATTCCTCTCAGCGTTTTCACCATTTACTTTTGGCGTCGACATTAGTTACACTTGAAGCGCGATTGTATATAGGAATAACTAATAGAAGCAACATTAAATATTATATTATTATAATAGCACCTCTTTTATTGATTTGACATAGGAAAAATATTTTGATAAATGAAAAAAATAACAACAAGGCTAATAGAAGAATAATTAAAGAACGACGTTTGCTTTTTTTATATTCAATGCATATCAAAGAATTGTTATTATTATTTCTTTTTTTTTTACTATTAATGATAATCAAATATATTTTTTAATTTCGACTAGAACATATTTTTAATATACGTTTTAAATTCATATGACTGAATATTCCTCCTCGAATATGTTTTCATCATGGATATCATAAGGAAAAATGTTGACAATTATGCATCTAGCATCTCTCATTTCATTAATAAACAAACCAATTTATAATTCCAATTTTATTAAGCCTTATGATCATACCATCAACCCGTACTTAAATTGAAAATTTACGATACCCCTAACAAATAAATCCTTTACTAACCATAATCATTTAAACATTTGTTTAATAGTGATAAGATAAGAAAAAATTACCACAAATATTGAATATAACACTTCTTTACTAATACTTAAAATGCAACCAGTGATTCAATGTACCAATATCCCGAGCATAAAAAAACGTGCAATAATACAGATGACTAATTTAGTATAGATTCCATTTGAACGAATCATTGAATTTTTCCATGTCTTACTGATGAAAGAAATTCAAATGCACAATGAGAATTCAGTTGAGTTTGGAATGTCTTATTCAAATAATATGGGCCATACGGTAATTAATCAATGATGAAGTAAATTTAAGATTAGTCAAATCCTTTGTCTATATCTTATTTTAGTCAACAAGTAAAGATTCAAGTAATATTTCTGATGATTTGCTTAATCTACTATCATCATAAAACAAATGTGTTGTTAATATGACAGAGTATTTTTTTTTCTATTCTTTAAAATAACTTAAATATTGCATTTCTAATACATAATAGTAATACATCTCCATCATTACATAAAAGAATTCAAGATGAAGCTGAAAAGAGTTGCATTCGTATAGCTAGTAATCTCTTTTGATTTAAAAAAATTATGCATTAAGTTAAAACACAACAGAGATCATTACACTGCATTTTTTAACCCATTGTCCTGTCCTGCTCTATCTCTTGTTACCTTCCTCTCCTTGTTCTAGGATACTCTTTGCCCTTTCCTACTCTGCTTCATGCAACCTTTCGCTGTCCTACAGCACCCTTCCTTTTTCTCTCCCGTACCACGCTCTACGCTGTGGTGCTCTTCGTTTTTTTACCTTGCTCTCCTTATTTCCCCGACATTTCCCTATCCTTCCCTGCTCTTCCATTGCCATCTTTTTTTATTACCTTCCGTGCTCCCCTTTTTTCAGCGTTTTCTCTACACTGGCTTGGTTGTATAAAAATACTGTCTTATAAGTAAGATTTGGAAATATAATGCATAACACTCAGTGGGACTCTTTAAATTAGGATAAAATTAGATAAAAATTCAAGTTACTTTAATGGTTTAAAGAGATTTTATTATTGTGTTGTCTTTTTTATTTATTAGACTTCGAATAATTAAAAGAAATACTATATAATTTATAAAATTTTGGATGAAAATATTGAATTGATAAATAATTAACATTTAAAGTAAAAATAATTTTGATAGAAAATAAAAAAATTATAATAATATCTTTTAAACAGGTAATTTAGACTGTTAAATATGTGTATCCGAAATTTTTTAAATTAGCAATCAAATTGTGGAACGTGGTTTTATATATATAATAATATATATTTTAATAGAAAAATAAGACCATAATGTTTTGATAAATAAATAATGTTTCAAAATCGATAGGACTAATGGATAATATATCAAATTTTTTTTTCCATCTGAAGTTACTCTAGTATTTGCATATTTATTATTATTTTAAACAATGATTTGTTTTTGAACATTCGATTGAAAACAAATTATTAAAAGTTTACGCTTTATAAATCCTAGGTCGACAATATAAGAATTATCAATGTGCTTTAAGAAAACAGAAAATATTTCAAATGAATGATATAGTAGGACTAAAAATATCATAAGTTGATCGAACGAATACTTCAGCATCAATGTTACTGTCTAAAGTAATAAATTTATTCACCAAAAGACAATCGACTAGTTTACAATATAAACTAGCCACGTTACATGGAATAATAAATGATTGGTTTTCTCCAACGGATATAATCGATTTATCAAAAACATTATCTATTGAATTGCAGCAATTAGATGCCACAAAATTATCAAATATAACTTTTATTCAGACATCAGACCTTCACGCATTTTAAATTGATGGATAGTTGTAAATATACTAGTTCATGTTATACTAACCGTTGCTCATGTAAAAAACAATCAGTTTTATGCTGTAATAAATATGATCGTGATAAATGTATCATATGTAAAAATAGTAATTAAAAAATATCTAGAATTTTTTTCGGTGTAAATTTTTTTTTTGAGTACGTAAAATAAAGTATGTTAACTAAAATTAATGGCAATTTTCAATATAATATTAGATTTACTGTCTACCATCATCTGAGTTGGAGTGGATCGGCTTTCATAATAAAAAAGCTGAGCGATTTCGAATTTCGCACATAGCACAATCGGTGATTTCTGATACGATAATTTGATTGATTAATAATTTTTCTTTTTAGATGATGTAACTCCTTTCCTTTTATCAATGCAATGCATGGAGTCGTGTTTTTGGATTAAAGAAACGAGCTATGTTGCAGGATGATGTCTATTGTGGGTTTTTGAGATATATAGAAAATAAATTTACATTAAGTGTAACTCGCAGAATTTGTTTAAAAGTTTGTGAAAGGAGTTTATAAATATTAAATTTAAATATTCAATTCTATTACTGATATAAAATGGTCTTTTTTTGCATTTTTCGTTGATTATACGTATGTTCGTTACAATAGAAAATATGAGGTTAAAGAATGATAAAAGTTTATTTTATAGAAAAATCTTATTATGATGAAAGTAATTTATTATCAGTAGCTGATTGTATTTTGTTTCTAATAGAGTTTAGAAGATTGTTATTATTATTCAATTATTATCCAAATTAATACAGTTTGAAAAGAAAGTAAATAATATATTATGGAAGAATAGACTTTAAAATTTATTGATGGGTTTTATACACTTTGTTGTATTAGACATATTACATAAAGAATCAAAAGAAAAAAACAATTCATAACTTTACAGTATAATCTTATAGAAGAATAAATATGGTTAAAAAAAATCAAGCATCTTTGTTTAATAACTTTTAATTGGATTTTTATTTAAAAAAAACGAATTCTTGTGATTAAAGAGCATTAATGTATTTAGATCCATATCATATTGTTTTATTGAAGCAGACGTGAACTAATACGAAGAGTAAGGTAATATGAGAAATATATGCGTTTTTGCTTTTATAAAAAAGGATTGTAACTTCATTATAATGGGTTAGGTTAATGTTCAGAAGGTCAAAAAGGATTGATTGAGTTATTATTACCAGTCAGTGTTAAGTGGGAAAGAAAATTGAACATTCTCAGTTCTGTTTCAAAATATTTTGTTTTTTTTTATTCGCCGTCATCATTTCATAGTAACAGAGGCGCTATTTTTTCTAATTTTCTTTTGTATGTTTGTGTTTGTCGCTTTTTAAAAAAATAACATCTACTGCTTATAGGAACATGAAAACCAAAACGCAGCAAAAAAAATTATTAATGTTCTGACATATATGTATTAAAGAAAATGCAAAACAATGAATTATAAATAATAAATTATTAAGAATATAATTTAAATGATTTTTTTTTAATTCAATTGATACTTTTAAGAATTAGTAGTGAGTACTGTAATTTCAAAACAGAATTTTAGTGAAATATTAGGTGAATTAAGTAATGTACATTCTGTATTATTTTACTTCTTCAACGGCTCAATTTAATTGATTTAAATATAAAAAGTTTCCGTATAATTCAATTAAATTCGGAGTTAGGGTATTTATTAATATTACGTAAACAGGAATAGAGTTTTGTTCTTGTGTACAAGTGGAATAAAAAGGAATTGTAAAAAATGTAATTTATTCATTTAAATTTTAGATTGAAAAAAATCATCTAAACCATTTTCAAATACAATATAAGAAATAATCGATACAATTTGTAATAAAAATCATTTATCAGCATACATCATATTAATAAGCTTTATTCAATTGTGTTAGAAATAATAGTATATCCAGAAATAAATTAATAATAAAAATACATTAATGATGAACAATGATAATCATATATCTCACATGAGTAAGTATTGCTATATCTTTAATATATATTTTACTCTGTTGATTTATATAACTTGTTATACGTAAGAAAATTGAACATGATCGACTTGTTGTTTCTTGAACAATAGTCTTTACAGACACTTTATAAATAATGAATTAATCAGATAGCTATAATTTCTTTTATAGATAACGAAGCGGTTCTGATAAAAATTTCTGAAATTCATAATAATATTACACATTTGTAAGTTGATATAGTATATTAATGTGATCAAATTGAACTATTTATGCTTTAAAAATATTTTTGTTTGCTTAAATGATTTGTTTTTTTCTATTAACAATTCTTCCTAAAGAAAGCTAGCGAAGTATTAGTTGAATTGATTGATCTTTAAAAATGCAGATATTTTTGTTTTTCATCTAGATGGAAAATACAAGCTCTGATTACGTATGAATATAGCTAACGTACATTTATGAATATGCATGGATCAGGAGAAATATCAACTTGGGATTTAACTGATGAATCAGGTTCAATTACTTTAGTTGCTTTTAATTTAAATTCTCATTTATTATCAAACAAATTAAAGAAAGATAAGGTATTCAGTTTATGAGAATAAATCTATTATTTTGTTATATTATAGATGTATGAATTTGTTAATTTATCGATTCGTCCAGCATCTGATCTTTACAAAACGTTACCACATCAATTTGAATTACTTTGTAATACTGGAACACGTGTGGAAGAAATAATTTCACCTTTGATTAATCAAGAATTATATCATAATTTTGTACATTTAAATCAAGTGAATATTTTACCATTGAATTCAATAAAAGGTAAATTTTTAAGAATTTCATTAGTTATTCAATAACTTATACATATCTACAATTGTCTTTTTATTTTAAGTCTCATTGATAAAATATACATTTCGTAGTTCTAAAAAGATTCGTGACAAGAAAAATGAGCATTTACAAAAAATTAATTCATTTAATTTTTGAATTGTTTAAAGGTTGATAATTATGTTTCAGATATACAAGTGCGTGTGATGCGTGATTCTGAAATCTCAACAGGTCAACATAATGATAAATTATGGTTTCGACGTGATCTTCATATTATTCAGGACGAAACACAAATTCGGATGACTCTATGGAATAGTCAAGTAATTTTTTAGTAAGTTTTGTGTTCATATATATATGATTTTTTGTTATCAATAGGCTCACATTGTCAATCGAAATATGGCTGGACTAAATGTTAAATTTAAGCATGTAAAAATATCATGGTTCTATGGTAGAATTAATGCAAATTATTTTTTGTTTTTAATATAGAAGAAAACATAAATTGAACATTTATTTTTTTACAGAATATTAGTTGATTATATGTTTTTGTTTTACTAGGTGCACGTGTTATTATCAGTGTAGCGAATACTCAATTAATAATTATTTAAAACTATTTATAAATTGAATTTATAATAACATATTATGTTACATATTTGAATCGTCATGCTTATATTATATATGGCTTCTGTTAAAACTAACTTATTTATTTTCGAACCATCAAATGATATATATTAGTATAACTAAAGAACATTTTTGAATTAAAATTGTATTGATTGGTGTCTCTCGTAAGTGTTAACTAAAAATAAATATAATTATAATAATAAAATATGTATTAAAAAGAAATATTATTAGTATAATGACTATTGAATATAGTAAATAGTATATATATTTTAAAAAGATTTGCAATATAGAAAAAAAGTTGACTTTTCAACAAATCATTGAAAACGTCTTTTTCGTTGACAAATATTTCGAAGTCAATATCGGTTTTATGAGATGAAGTATATATGTTTGCTTTTAGTACAGATGAAAATTTGTATTCTGTTCGTCTCATTGAAGTTTTAATATATTTCACAGTACTTTCCAAGTTTGTATTTTCGTTTCTCTTTTTTTTTTTGAAACAATTGATATCAAGTGTTGAAGGTGACTACTAAATCTTTCATTTATTTAGAATGTTAATTTGTTTTTTATTGTGCAAGAAAAAAATATTTTAATAAAATGAATTAAATAAGTTTTTGATTATTGAATATCAATCATTAATGAAGGTTAATAAACTTTATGTTTAAGAGTATATGTTAATTTCCTATGTGATATGAATAAAACTATTGGAAAATATGAATATTTTTTTCATTTTTTAAATGAACTCTTTTAATATGATTTTTTTTAAAAAGTATTGGAGTTAAGTCTAATTGTAGTTTTTTCTCGAAAAGACCAATGAGCAAAAATTTTTTGCGCGTTGCAAACATTATTGTATACTTTAGTCGAATTTATCTTTTGTTATGACTTTTATCATAAATGTAATAAAACGTCTTTTTCCAAAAAAGATTATTACTCATCGAATTTCGGATTTAATGCAATTAATAAAAGATCAAAATGTTAAAAATACTCATATTTGTATAAGTATTCAAAATGATAATGATACTCGAGAGTTTTGTTATCTTACAATAGATGAATTGACACAATTGTTTCAGCAGACTCCTGTGATTGAACGTTGTCTTTATGAAGTAATTTTTCCAACAAACCAAGTTAAAACATATATTGATTTTGAGTATTATATCACGAATAATCTTGATATTGAAAGTCCTTATATTGGAGCTAGATGTTTTCTCAAAATACTTTACAATCTATTAAATTTTCAACAAAATATTGATTGTGAAGCTAATTATAAAATGGATCTTATATTACAACAATTTCTTGTACTTAATTCGTAAGCAAAAGAAAAATTATACGGGAGCCTTACTATATGTCTTTCTGCGAAACATATCTCAATGCATTTATTTAAGGCCCTCTCCCCCGTCAGAAAATCCAATTTTTCGGAGATGACTCGAAATTGAAGCTTTATCATAAGAAGATGCACCGAAATCTCCTCTTTATGAATATCTATGGTTTATCGAAAAATGAGTTAATTTTGACGAACTTACCGTCTAAAACTTGGCTTCTACTATCATATCTTTCGAGAAATTTTCACGGCTTTTTTCAAGCTTTTCCGACTTTTTAGGCTGCTTTATTTTTGGATCAGCATTTCGTAAAGTTTTTTTTTTAATATTAATCACTATGAGCCTATGAACACTTAATATTAAGATGACATATATATATAGTCTGTCTCGAGCATTGATATATAAATGAGATGATTTTCGGCAAAAATCGATTGCTAATAGTTATTTTTCATTTTTTTCAAAATGGTTTTTTTCGAGAATACTATTTGCGCGGGCAAGGTTTTTTAAATAATGACTCAATAAAGAAGTGATAATTTTGTTTTAATACATAGAAGGTAGTTAGGGCTAGATCCTCACAGAGACTGATTTTTGAATTTCTCTTTTGGTGAAATAAAAAACTTAGACTTTTCATTTTTGTTAGCAATTTTTTTTTGGGCATGATTTTGTAAATTTTAGAAAAAAGATTTTTTAAAAAACAAAGAAAGGGAAATTCAAAAATCGGGCCCTGTGAGAATCTAACCCTAAGGATACTCTACAAGTTGAAAACCGCTCGGGCTTGTTAGCTTGTATCCTTATTGCGAAATCCTTGCCCGCGTAAAGGATAATGAATTCACTAGAACTTCTGCATTTCTTTGAGATTTGGGGAAGATATTTTAACCATAAGCTGTTCTAGTCAAGACTAACATTTTCTGAAATTTTGGTTGAAATCGGATGAAAAATAACAAAGTTCGTTTCTGAGGAGCTCCCTTAACATAAAAGAAAGATAGTGTAATTTGGAATAAAACTTCGATAAAATAAAATAAAATGTAATGAATTTAAAAAAAAAAACCAGGTATAATGAACCATATTGTTTAGTTATATAGTGATTATTTAATGTTTATAAATATCTGAGATGTCATGTGTTTGTTATTTTTAGATGTACTTCGGATAAAATATCATATCATTTCATTCATGCGAATCCTTGTGTATTATTCGAAAATAATTTAACACTTGGTTTATTTGTTAGGATTGCTATAAATTTTCTTTTATATTCGATTGCTCAACATAAATGTTCATCATTTAGTGTAAATTTTGATTTACAAAAAAACACTACGATTGACTTATTACTATTGCTGACACCTTATATAAATATATTACGTAAATGTTGTACTAATTGTAAATTGTATGGCGGTTATGTCACTGTTTCAGAAATTGCTCATTTATTAGTATTAAATAAACAAAATGAATTTACTACTGCAGTAGATGTTAATGTTTATTCTCAGCATCAACAATTTCGTTTATTTGATTGCGTCAAAAGAGGCAAAATGAATCCTCTTGTTCGATCTAGTAATTTTCAATTTCACGACTATGTTGAAAGTTCTTATTATGAAATTCTTCAAAAATCACTAATAACGTACATTCACCAATTAAATTTACCAATAATTTCTATAAAAAATAACCAATTTCAATGGACAACCATGAATGAAATTAATCTATTAGAAACAACTCATAAAAGTCTACTCAATTTAAATCATATTAATAGATATTTTAATATTTTTTATGGATTAAATACGAAGTCTATATCTGATCAACGACCTTGTAATTTAACCATTGAATCAACAACGTATAGTAATATTAATCATGATACTCAAGTAGAATTATTTAGACCATTTGTAGAAAATTTAATCAAACAAGATAGAAGTCATCAAGGTTATATTCGATCATGTGTACGTGGTACATACAATGCAGATATGTTATTTTTTAATATCGGAGGACAATATCGATATTGTGAGAAAAAAGGAACTCATCATGAACGAAATACAACAGCAATATTGATAAATACTAAAACTCATACATATAGCATTCGTTGTAAAGATCCGAATTGTGACAATAGATGCCTTATCTGGAAGAAAATTCAATAGATTTTATTTTCAGTTTTTAGTTTTTTGCATTAAAATTAATATACGATAATAAAAAAACCATTTTTTACTAAAACTATCCCTAATGCAAAATACACTAAATTTTTTCAAAGATCTGGTAAAATACATTAGTTCTAATATTTTAAATAGTTGAAATTTTGAAACCAAGAAGTTTAAAAGAAAATTATTGTATTAACTGCCCGAAATATGTTATTCACTAGTCTAGTTTTCAAGAGTTTAGTTGTACATGGTAATAATAACGTTATTGTTTTAAAACCTGTTTGATTTTCGCTCCTTTTTTTATAATACATAAGTGCCGTTTTATAATCAGTTCGATAATGATGATTGTTATGCAACTATTTTGTGGATGAATTCTTGTCATGTTATCTAAATCTAACAAAAATCAGGAATATGTGGCAAATGCTATGTGGCAACGGAATTTATCCGATGCACGGGATATTCGAATTAATCTTGAAAATATCCTGAATGATTCATTTGATTTACTAGGTGATCTATTAAAAAACTATAAAACATTAAACGATACTGATGAAGCTGGTTTACTTTTATCACTGTTTACATGTGTTGGACATTTTGCTGGTGATTCACTTGTTCGAATAACTAATCATGTGAGCAATCTAAACATTTTTCTTTTATTAATTGGACCATCAGATAATTTAAATTAAATGTATAGAATATACATTGAAAGCTTTTTACCAGGTAGTGGCAAATCAAAAATTATTGCACCGATTAAAAAATCAGTTGTTAGTATGATTAAATCGTTGGGTATATCTGAAGATACAGCAGGAATAGTTGATGATTTTACTACAGCTTCATTATCTGCTAAATTAGCAAAATCTAATGTGTTGGTTATTACAGATGAAGCTGAAAAATCATTATTAGAAATGGGATTTTATTCTCCATTATCAGAAGTCAGTTCTAGTGGTCGAATTTCCGGTTGTAAATTCTATGGGAACATTCCAACAAGTAAAGACACAATGACATATCATTTGGAAATTGCTTCTCATCTATCATTTGTTGGAGCTACTACTGGTCGTCTTTGGCATCGTTTAATCAATTATTATGCACAAGGACATCAAAGTGATGGCTTTTCTGAACGGTTAGATAATATATGTTTTAATCGTTTGCTTAAAATGCTACTTGGGATTTTATAATTCTTTTTGTATTATATTGTGGCTCTAGATTTTTCGTTAATATATGTGAGACAGAGTGAAAGTTTCTTAACAGATTATATGAAGTCTTACTAGAGCGTAAATCGATAACAGATACAAGTATTTTAGGACATTAATACAAGTTTTGAAAATTTAAACCCTTTAATAGATTTTTTTTCTGAATTCTAGGTAGATTTGAATATTCCATTAAGTAAACTTTTTTTTTCTCTCATTTGAAGTACGGTTGTTTTCAGAAAATGATCTTTTAGAATTATTGCATAGTTTCTATACGATTTTACTTCATTTTTGTGCTAGACAAGGTATTTGACAGGAAAAAAAGAAAGACATAACCTTTCTCTTTTTTTAAAAGAACTTTTTTGAAATAGTTTTCTTTAAGTGTATAAAATATTTACATTTGTTATATATCACAAAAGGACTATAAAATCTAATATGGTCAATGAAGAAAAATTTGTTTTAATTTTCATGTAAAGATTTTTATGATTATTAGTTTTTTTGTATTGAAAAGTTTAAATGATAATTTTAGCTTAAAAGTTTAATGAGTATTTCAATAATATTTGCAAATTATTTAGATTCTTACATTATGCATTGCCGAAGAAAGGCGAAGCAACAATTAATGTATCACAACCAATCGAGTACGACGAGTCAGATGAAGAGATCAATGAAGATGAAGAGAATATCAGTGACAGCGAATATGAAACAGAAAGATCAAGTCAAATCCGTCAAAATTTACCCAGTATTACGCAACTTTTGATTGTAGCAAGATTAATTGGAAAACGTGAATTCATATTATCTCGAAATCGCACAAAAAAATTTCTCAATAAAGTTCGACAATACCAAGAATTGTCACAGGTGAACAAATCAAAGGATGTGAATTATGGTTCACGAATTGGTAAAGCTGCTGAAATTTTATGTAAATTAGCAGGAATTACTGAAATTATAAGAATATCCATCGACGTTCTACAGTAAGCTTTTGTTTCAGTATAAATTGATAATTTCTAAATAGATAGATTATTACTAGTCATAAATTTAATTTCATCTTTAAGCATCAAATGTAGCTAATAACTAAGTGAGCATTTTGAAAGAATAATAATTAGATGTCAGGAAATAAATATATTTTAAACTTGATGATTAAAAATTTTTTAAACACCAGCAAACGGTTATTACATTGAAATAAACTTCAGAGATTTTTCTCACTCTTTTTAGTAGTAGGTCAAATGTATTCGCCTTACTCCCATTTCTCAAATAATGCATCATTGCTTAATATATCATGTCTATTATTAGCTAATGGATCTTAAAATGATAGATTATTTTTTATATGAAATCGAGAAATCTTTTTGAGTATTATGTCTCATTCGTGTAACCTATAATAACCTTAAAACATTAAATATTTTCTTAACTATTATCATTAGATGAAATAAAATAGTACTATAGAAAAATATATGATTATTCTTTTTGTGTACTCAAAAAGTGAGTACACTACTAAAATCGGTCAGTGTGTCCGGCCGTCCGTTTATCCGATAACTTTCGAAAGGAGAGTCCGATCGCGATGAAATTTTCTACACAGTTCAATCTTAACAATATCTCGGTCGCGTTCGAAGATGAGAAGGATTGGTCGAGCCGTTCCTGAGTTATTGCAAAAATACTCATTTTTCCCTGCACCTTCCCTATGGAAAGATCGACCCATCCCCACTTTCGTAAAAGACTTTTCCTATCATAGTCAACTAAAACCCCAACTATTATATACCATTCGATAGAGAATTTCACGAGCTACAAAATGGTATATAAAACATAAAGAAACAAGAAGGTTGGCTCATCTATCACAAAGATAACTAAAGAGAACTAGGTTATATTTTTGTCCACGATCTAATTGATCCACAAATAGAGCTCTATCTTCCGATCACAGTGATGATACTTCGAGGTTTTCTGAGATGGAGAACTCGAATCTGTATTCCACTTCCATCGAAATACTATTGGTTGAGCAGTGACCAATAGAAATCAAGTTATAGGAAAAACGACTTTCTTAGGGTAAATCAAGGGGAAGAGTTCAAATTTGAGCTGTATTCGGTCCCAAGTCCTATTGGTTTGGCAATACTCAATAGAAATCAACAGTTTAGAGGGTAGGTTCTCCAGTATAATTTTGATGTCCACACGTTCTAGAACGACTCATCTGTCTCATTCACTTTTTGAAGTACACATAACTCTCGGATTTAAATCCGAAGTTTCCGCATTTATTTTTTTATTATAGACATCTTAAACATCAAAACCAACTGCATTACGATGATACAAGCTTAAGCTTTATTCGGAACATTACAAGCTACATTGAAAATAAATATCCGTCATCGACTGCTGTACTCGAAATTCGTGCTTCCAGCTGTCATGTAGCTGGCAATCTTCTATGCAGTCATTTACTCAAAATATTATTTGCATTATATAATGTCGAACCTGTTACTCAAACACAAAAAACAACTACAATTAATTCAATGTCTAGTATGAGTAACTAATATTAATTTTCTTGTTAAATTTAAAAAATATTATTTAGTTCATTCAACAATAACTACTATTTGACAACGCATTTTTCAAATGTCTCAAGTTTTTTTTATTAAACGAGATTTAACTGGATCTATGGGATTGCTTCGTCATTATCCTACTGATTTGGTTAACAATGTTCTAGGTGAATTAATTAATTATGAATTAGTACGACAAGGACGTGAGTAGAAACATATTTCTTGTTTTATTTTATTTACTATTACATATGCTAACACTATTGAGTAACAAAATCTTTTAAATATGCTGATCTATATTTAATAGCATATATAAATACTACATCACGTGGTGTTGTTTATATGAAATCATATCCATATCAAAAGAGGTTAAATGATCCAATAAAACACAACATTATCAATCAATTGTTTGCTGAAGCGAAAATGGATTTAACTAGTTATATGTTAATATTAAGCAACAGTCTCATAAAAGACAATCAAATATTAACAACCAATGGTATACAAATGTTAATGCTTCCTGAACATAAGTTGTTATGTGAAAATTTAAAAAAAAAATCCTAACCTGAATCTAGATCGTATGTATTGAATCTAAATATTTAATATTATTTTAATCATAATAATGCTGCACTTTATATTCACATAATTGTTTCATTCATACAGGTACAATTATATCAAATATTAGTAATGATCGAAATAATACAAATAATCAGTTGCTCCATAATAATGGAACGACATTTGATCCACCACGAAATTATGATACACAACGTATCTAAAAAAAATAGAAATTAATTTTTAATTTAGTTTATGTTTAATAATTTTTTTTTAAAGAAGCATTAGTTTCGTTTAATGCAAATTTACTTGATCAAAATGGTTGTCATTCATCTGAATTTTCGAATCAATTGTCCATACGGTCACAAAATAATCGTGAAATCAATCAGTTTCTAAATTCTTCATCTTTTAACAATCTTACAGAAACGTCATCTACAAGTCATGCTGGTCTTTGTCGCATATAATTTTTTTAAAATTTAAATCATTATAAACAACAATATAAATGTTATTTTAGATAATTCACAAATGAATCAACTGTCAATAATTGCAAATCATTTATCGTTGATACGCAATACACAAAATACAAATAATAATAACTTTCCAATGACTGCTTCAAATAGCATTTCGTCTTCAAATACGAATGAACTTTTATCTACGTGTACTCAAACTCATATTTCTCATATATCAGATGGTATATAAGCACTTCATAGTTTGATGACAATATAAAAATTTCATTTCAGAAAAAGTGCTAAAAGAAACCACTGATATGAACACTATAGCCTCAACTATTAATGGTAGATTTCGTACAATCGTCAACAGTTTTTATAAGTATATCGAGTCTTAGTTTACATTTAGTGCAAACGGGTAGTAATTTGACAAATTCACAACGAATCTCAAATTCTAGTTCAAATATGCAACAAGAAATAACATGTTCGAAGAACAACATTATATCGAGTTCATCTGTAACACCAAATGTTATAGACGAAGTTACGTCGAATATTCAAATAGAACATGATTATACATTGATAAATCAAAACGAACGTTATTCAACAACAACCTTAATGGATGAATCACATATAATTAAAACTCGTTTATCTATACCAGATAATCAATCCAAAGGTAAGCTATGCTGTAAGTTTTCTAATAAATTAATAGTTCTTTAATAAAAAAAAAAAAATTTTTTTTGCGACAATATGCTCTTCATTAATAGCAACCATCATTCTAAACTAAAATGATTATATATATTCTAAAAAACCACAACACGTTTGAACTATCATTTCGTTTTTTTTCAAATATAGGTTTAACTATGTTAAAATCACAAGCTTTAATAAAATCTTGAATTTTTTCTCTTAACTAAATGTCAAAGAAGATAAATTTGGAACCTCTATGTTAACAGAGAAAGACACTTATGATTGAATAAATAACACGCAGTAAAACTAACACTCGAAATGTTTATCAAACTTCACAATATGTATGTTTGCTCAGCATTTTAAATAGGAATTACGAATCAATATTTTCTTTGAAGAAAAAAAGCAAAAAAAAATTAAAATACTAAATGTTGATAAAATTTAAAATACTTTTTCTAACATACTCTGTTAAATATACCTAATTCTATTTGAGTAATATTTGAAACGAACTTACTTTATCTCTAGTAATAAATAACACAAATATTTTTTTAAATTTATAATTCAGATAACAGTAATTCTGAACCAACGTCTTCTATTGTTCAACGTAATGATGGATACGAAGGTTGTGGAGCTCGAAAAAATAAACGAAAATATTCAAAAGAAGCTACCAAAAGAAAACAAAAAAATAAAAATAAATGAACAAATAAAAGACATTTATTTGTAATATAAATTTTCATGTACATAAAATTAGATGTCGTCAATGTGTATGGTATAAACTATGCTTCATCATAAATATTATTGCGTTAATTTCAATATTTTAAAATACTAAAAAAATGAAGAATAAAATATAAATAGGATGCAGCATTTAATTGTTTTACTAGTTTCTCTTTTTTATCTAATATCTGTACATACATAACAGTCATTTGCAATTGCAACAATTTATGACAAACATATTTTGTAAAAAAAATCTTTATATAAACTTATCACAATTATACGTGTAAGCTAAGATACCAAACGAACAGTGGGATGACGTGGCACGATATTTCCGCGCGTGACATTTGCGCGCCGACACTACCGCGCACGACACTTCCGCGCACGACACTAGCGCACACGACTCTTGCGTGCATTAGCACTTGAGCGCATTGACATTATCGCGCACGACACTTCAGC